CACCAAAGGGAAGCATATGTTGAGAGAACTGGGCCCAGCACTGAACCTGGTAGAACACCAACAGTAATAAGTAATAAGAAGAAAAACAAGAACTAGCATTTCCAGAGACATTCAAAGAAGCCAGTCTTGCCAGAAAAATCTGATGGTCATGTGTGTCAAATGCTGCTAACAAGTCAAGCAACACCAACACTGATGAACAAGGTTGAACCTTGGCCACTAGGATATTATTAAAAACTTGAGAGACTGCTGTCTCAATTGAATGTCAAGCCTGAAATCCAGGTGGGAATGGATCAATGGCATTTTGATGGGATAAATAAGAGGCCAGTCAGCTAAGTCTTTTATTTTTTCTTTCTCTCTTCTTATTCTATTTTGCTAACTTTTAATCCAATTGTATTAATATATTAATTGTATTTTATGATTATTTATATTTTATATTGTCTTATTTTATGTTGTAAGCCGCCCCGAGTAGACATGGAGGGGTATAAATTTAATAAATAAATAAATAAAGTTGAGAAAGGGCTACTCTCTCCAACACTTTAGACAAAAAAGGATGAGGAGAAATTAGTCAATAATTGACACAAACAGAAGGATCAAGGGAAGTTTTGTTTCAACAAAGGACAGACAAAAGTATGCTTATAGGAACTTGGAAATTTGCTACTAGGAAGCAAACAGTTCACCAAGCTGGTCAAAAAAGGCAAGACATGTATAGTGGAACAAAGAAAAGAAAGAAAAGGATAACTAGTAACAGTAGTTAGTAGGGAAGTAGGTAAAATGCAGAAACCTGCTCCTCTGACACCCACGAAAACTCAAACTGTGCCTGAATCGATAAAAAGCCTGATTAGCTTCATATAAATTTAAAAAAAAAAAAACACCTTTCTTAAGGCAGATTTTAAAGGTGATAGGAATGCTCTTCAAGCTTCCATTGTTATTTGAAACAACAAAGAAAAAAAAAGGCAGCTTATTTTTAAGCTGGAGTCAGCCAAGGGTGAGCAGAGCGAACAGCTCTCTCCCAACAGACAGAAGGGGCTAATTGCTTGAGAGCAGCACTAGTTGCTGTTTGGAAAGCAGCCACCAATTCATTTACTGAGCTGACCTGTAAACCATCAATTAAGCTACAAACACAATGGCCCCGACCACTTTAAGGTCTTCTGATTCAGGGCTGATGTAAAATTGCTAGAAGAAACTTTAGACAAGTTCCTTGTAATCATGTGAACAGGCAGAATAAGAGGAAGTGTAAAAAAAAAAGCTATGCAAGAAAAAAAAATATCAGAAAGGCAACAATTTAAATAAATCGTAGCTAAAGGAAATTCTCACCCTTTGCAAATAAACAAATCCAAAGGTTTACCCCTAATGTGAGAGGGGGAGATGACAATACAGTCAGATTATGCATGTGCAACACAGAAGTCCATCCATCATTTAGGTTCCTGATGGATGTTAAAAGTCCCCAGCAATTATACAAGGCAGCTTTATATCCAAAGAAGCTAGATAACCAGGTGGAATATTTCTCCAGAAGTCAATTTCCAAAGCTGAATTTGGAGGACAATAAATTCATGCCAATCTCACTACAGGATATACTAAAACAACAGAATAAAGGAGGTAGACATAACAGTTCCTATCTGAGTGATTGGCTTGCTAGCAAATGTTGACTTGAATACTACTGCAATCCCTCCCCTCATGCTATGCTAGGTGAGGAGGATAGGAGAAGATGTAGCCTCCTGTAGAAAAGGTAGCTAAAGCCGCACATTCATCCTGAACAAACCAAGTCTCTGAAATAAAAGTGACTGAAATAAATTTATCAATTGATCAACTGAATAGTGTAAATTACCAAACAAAATTCTCACCAATTGCCCTGAAACACTCTGAAATTTAGTAAAGGCTGATGAACCTGATACCAGTACATACTTCTCAATAAACTGATGAGCTATTCAGCCCAGCACACTAAAAGTGTACACTATAATGCTCCTATTGCTAGAAGACTATTGCTTTTGCTGCAGAATTAACATGGGTACCCTCTGGGAATTCAACTTGAAGAAAGGAAGTTCTGGTGGAACAGAAAGAAAGAGGAATAAACTCCATGTCGATTATGAGATATACCAAATCCAAGTAAATGGGGTTTTTTATAAGCAGTATCTGAGGCTGCCTCCCCTCTTGTCAAATGAATGCAGGCAACCAACTATTTCTTGAGTTTCATCCCATACATATGCAACAAGCTATCTTCCCTGAATAAAACAAGGCAACCATTATTTCATCTTATAAAGATGAGGTAGACATAGGGAATATACAGCTGGAATTTTAGCACTGAACAGGAGCACATATTAGTAAGCATTTGGCATGATTTAGTTAGGAAGAGTCAGTACCATCATGTCAGAGAGACTTGTCTGAGTGTAGTTCTAGAATTTGTGTGTGTATTTATAGATGTATATTTCTTTTTAGCCGTTTTTCATAATAGTTTATGATGAAAAAAAAATACACATTCAGATAATTATATATATTCATAAACTAGTTAAAGCAAAGCAAAGCGAAAGCAGCATAAAGTATTCAACAGAAATAAAGCAAAGTTACAGCTGGAAAGATTCAAAGGCCTGAGAAAATACAAGGGCTCTTACTTGGCAATAAAATGGCTCTAACAAGCATTCAGGAAGCTTTACAGGGTAGGATCACATCCAGTGCAAGACACAGCTACTGAAAATATATCTTTCCGAAGAACCACTTACATCACTCAGAGAAAGGTCTCAGAATATGGGATCTGATTAATATTAAGGGGTTTTCTAACTGTTTTGTACCTCTAACAATATGAGATGAAGTACTCTGAACATTATCTGCAAACCCTATAAATTATTTGGAGGCAGCTACAGCCTTCTAGAGTCTAGACAATCAGAAGACTAAAGCCTGTATACTTATGTGAGTCACTATTCTTACTGCCCATCTGCAGGCTTGAGATGTTTTTTGACTTTCCAAGTGAGGAGGGTGATTAGGGTATTGTTAGTTGTACAGTATTTCTTCTCTCATTCTTTTAAACCCATGATGCTAGAGGCAATCCTACTTGATGCTTCCAACTAGTACTTGCATTCAGTATTTTTCTACAGACATCAGAGGTAGCATTTCACTGGTAGAATCTAGTGGAATCGGGCATATGCGGGTTTCTGAGAGATCTTCTCCCCTTTCCATACTGCAACTTCTGCTACCCTTCCAGATGTCATTTGGGGATGGCAAATCTTCCTGACCCAATTTCTAGCAGAAAGTAGAATTGAAATGAGAAGGGAAGAAATTTTACTGAAACTGCCCTATGTATCATTTTGTGACATCAGATGCAAAATTCAGTATCCTGTACACCACTTTCTTCACAGGTCTGAATGTGTACATATACAACCTGGAGAAAAAGCAGAAAGGAGAGCAAAAGCAGGATTTCTAGTAGTCAAAGTGGGCGTTTAGCACCGAGCAATGTTTTGCCCTTCTTTAATGATTAACAGGTGTAGAATTCTGTGAATTTAATAAGCTAAAGAATCCAGCTTTCTTATTGTAAATATTGCTGAAATATTTAGTCCAGAATACAGAACATTTTGCCAAAATTTTAATGTGTCTCTGCATGGGATTTTCTCTCACTCACAGTTAAACTATTCACTATTACGGTAACTGGGAGCTTATACTTTAAAGACTAATTGATAAAGAATAATAAGTCAGGTAAACTAAGTGTCTCTGCACGGGATTTTCTCTCACTCACAGTTAAACTATTCACTATTACGGTAACTGGGAGCTTATACTTTAAAGACTAATTGATAAAGAATAATAAGTCAGGTAAACTAAATTTTCCCCATTTACCCACAAGTAATCTAGTTAAAATAATGATATATATAAATGAGCATAGGTTTCAAAGATTTCTGTATTTTCATCAAGTCTGAAGGCTGAAAACAAAACATGTCATTTATACCTGTTTTATGATGTACCGTTTTTTTTACCCCTGCATGTAGAGGAGATACCAGCTTAGAGAGTCCATTAATACATTAGAATTTTGAAGTTAATCTTCAGTTAAAGGCAATTCTGTGTTAACTGGTCTGCTATTTTATAAGCTCTTTGGTAGTATTTGTGAAGAGTCTCACTCATTCAGGTGTGGCTATCTGGAAGGTGAGTCATGGCAACTTGACTTCTTTCTTGTTAGATTGAAATGTTTCACTACTCATCCAAGTAGCTTCTTCAGTCTGAGGAGAGTTGGTAGGAGATCCCTGATACATCCTCCACGTTGGTTTCACTTCCCTCTGGTCTGAATAGGCTCATTAGATGGACAGAGGAGGAGGGGCGAGGGATAATCTCATTTCTGCAGTCCTTCTCCATCTATTGTCATGGGCAGAGATGGGGGTACTCGTATACGAATACCCCCACACAGCTGGACATAATGCTCTGGAACTTGCGTTCAACTATCCACTCCTAGTAGGAGAGAAGACGAGTCTCCCTGCCAGGCTGACGAGTGGATAGCCGACTGTGAGCTCTGGAGTGACTGGAAGGCACAACAGAGCTGGCGGCAGCAGCAGATGCATGAGTGGCTGCGTCTGCTGCCGCTGGCCCCTCGTTCCATCAAGCTGTGAGGAATACAAATACCCCCATTTCTAGTCCTGGAATGTTAATAGTGGTCTTTCTGGTGAGTGTGGTCCTGATCTTCCTTGGGACGTATGAAAGGGCAGCATGATAAATAGGAGACAGATTGTATCTAAGGCCTTCACCCCTGTCGACTGCAGAAATGGTAATATCCTTCACCCCCACTTCTTTGTCCATCTAACAAGTCTATTCAGATATGGGGAAGTGAAACCAACATGGAGGGATCTCCTGCCAACTCTCCTCAGACTGAAGAGGCTACTTAGATGAGTAGCAAAACATTTCAACCTAACAAGAAAGAAGTCCAGTTGTCATGATTCCATACTCTCTGGTAGTAGCACAGTACAACGTAAAGAAATCAATTAAATTGGAAGAATACTTGAGTGAAGAGAACAAAAAAGTGCAACAAAGAATTTAAACAAAAAGCCCTGTTTTATTTTAAAACTAAATATGGACAATGTGTAGAAACATAGGAGACTATTACACAGTATAACATCCAAGACCACAAAATGAAAGTAACACACAGTATGAGAATACAAGATGGCTTGAAGTATCCACCACTTCCATTTTTGTACTAAAAGATTACTTTTCATCATACTGCATCAGCTGTCCATGTTCAAATTCCCTGTTTAATATTTTAAGACAGCCTCTACATATTCAACAAAATTATTTTAAAAATGAACAATATCATGGCACTTATTGGGGGGAAAAAGAATAGAGAAATCTGACATGCCCTTTAAATCAGTCACTCAGATCTGTATTAAAGTGATAGGAGAACATGAAGCATACTGTATACATGTATACAGGGCAAAGAATGTGCGCATATTGTAATAACTATACATTCATCCCTTTTGTGCTTGGAATCGGAAAAATAATGGATATTAGAATTTCACTCACTCTACCAGAGTGAGAGTCAGGATTTGTACCTCTGACATAAAGCCATTTCATACCATGCAGATTACATAGTGGAAGCATGACTAGTAATCTCTTTTCACTTACTTTAGAAAAAAAATTGAAAGGATGGTTGGAGCCAAGCAGTTAAATTATACCACACAGATATCTTTGCCCGCCATAAAAACATATAAACAACAATTACAAAATTTGTCTAAAACGTAACAGTTAGTGTTTACAGATGTACCCTGTAACTGACATCAAACTTGGTCAAGTACCTAGATGGATTTATTCCTCCTCTTCAACATGTCATTATTTTAAAGAATATTTTGAAATCAATTCACAAGGCTCAAATATGCATTTTTCCTTAATATATAAATGTACCATAACGTTCACAATGAAAGAGAGAAGTCACATCACAGAAGGCTAACTATGATGTGTCTGGTTTTCAATTGTTACCTGTTTAGATCATCCAAACTGTTTTCGTGTTTAGACCTTTTTACATTGAAAAATCCACAAAATACCCAGCTGATATCTCCAGCCAGCAGTTCCTTGATTTTTCAAATGTAGTATGAAAATTTTATTGGATACATCATCACACACAGACATTTCAACTTGTACCTTTAGTTACCTAGATTTTTGAAAATTAATTCTTGTACTGTGTTGACATGTGTGCCTCCATTCAGAAAATGCCTGCAGTCATCTTACAGCTGAATGTATAGGACCATGAGAGAATCTGAGGTGTAACCGCACTTTTCTAGTCACATTAGCAGAGGGATCCTTTCGCAGTATTTTAATGTTTGCAAGAGTTGTAGCTGCAGTTTAAGACTATTAGTTGCATATAAATATACTGTGAAATAATTTTTGTTCCACCTCAACAGAAGCTACAAGTTTGGTATTATGCCATTTGTCAATAATAGCTGCCTATTTGTGCTAAAGTTTATCTTTCTTTTGAAAAAATGGAGTTTCTAATTCGAGCTAACATTATACCTGTTCTCGTTCTTTCTGAAACAACAAGCTCAGGAAGGCACTCATTAGAAAATAAGTGTACCAAAAACCTTCAGTTAACATTCATAAGTTGGGGGTAAAATCTACTGCATGTTGCTTGACAGCAAAATCTTCTTTTACAAGAGACCCATGATCCTCATTTCTAACAAAGCACCTTTTGTTCTTGGCTCTATGATGGTAAAGGTAAGTACGGCGCTACTTTAAAAATTTAGGCTTCAGAAAGAATCCTGAGGAAATGGATAAAAATAAGTAGGAAGGAGAGCAGAAATTGCAGGTATTAACAGCACAATGCTATGCATATTGACTAGGAAGCAAGTTTCACCATTTTCAATGGGCTCTCTCACAGGTATGCATAGAACTGCAGTTCAAAATTGTAAATTGGAAGACAAAAACCTATGTCCAGTTCACATCAAATGTTGAACCAAGATTAACAGAATGGAATATGCTGTGGCATTACATAAACTTCTCCTGCCAACCTGAGTGCAAAACAGTTACCACCATAAGTTTATGTTCACTTAATTAGATGCCATATGTTCATTTTCTTCTGCATTGGCAATAATTACAGGTAAGGCTGAAAAACAGATGGACAGGATACACAGCCCAGCAATTCAATCACAAAACTGTTTTCAGTTTTAAGAGTGAACAAGGCTGTATATATGGCTTGCTAAACTTCACTTTATGCAACGGGGACTCCAGCTGAAACAGAGAGCAACGCTACATTATAAGAAAGAGCTGGCAATATCATCTTTAGGTAACCAATGGACAGGCAATTGCCTCAGTGTTTTTGTACTTCAACTTTGGCAAGATCTGTTTAATATTTTGGATATTCTTACATTTTGTTACAAGCAATCAGCTCATGAAGAGTGTATAATAGATGGCAAGTGACAAACCTAAACAAATTTGATGTTCATCCATGCAAGAAAACATAACCAGCAACAAATGGCACAGGTCAGAAATGGGAGATCAAACACATTCCTCAGCAGACATCAGAAGAGGATTGATATATTCAAAGCCTTCAAATTCTGACTGGTCAATCTTCTTCACAACATCACTGAAAATAAAATTTGTAAGTGTTAACAATACAATCACGGGAGAGAAAAAGATACAATTTAGACTGAGAAAAAGAAAAACAACACTATTTATTTAAGATATTTATATCCTGTGTTTCTTCTCAAGAGGACCCAAGGTGATTTACAGAAGTAAAGCAATATTAACAGCTTAGGTTAAAACCAAACCCACAAAACAGCCACCCCGTTTTAAAGATCCCCCCTTAGGCTGCAAGATACTGAAAAAAAAGCCTGCCTGAAGAGAAAGGGGGGTGGGAAGCCTGCTTCCAGAAGGAAAGCAAAGAGGGGGGCAGTCTGGCCTCCCATGGGTGGGAGTTCCATAGCCCAAGATAATGACAGAGAAAGTGGTCTCTTGCGTCCTCAGCAAATGCATCTGTGAATATGGTGGGACCAAGAGAAAGGTCTCCTCGCCTTATTTTAAAAGCTGGGCAGTCTTGTAAAGGGAGATGCAGTCTTTCATGGATTCACTATAAACAATGAGTCCAATAAGAGCTCTAATGCACTGAAACAAGAACTTATCTGTCTCATACTAGATGATCTGGCATCTTTTGCTGCAGGATCCAGCAAATGCATCTGTGAAGATGGTGGGACCAAGAGAAAGGTCTCCTCGCCTTATTTTAAAAGCTGGGCAGTCTTGTAAAGGGAGATGCAGTCTTTCATGGATTCACTATAAACAATGAGTCCAATAAGAGCTCTAATGCACTGAAACAAGAACTTATCTGTCTCATACTAGATGATCTGGCATCTTTTGCTGCAGGATACACTGGCAGTTTTGATTTGTGAAGGTGTTAAAGATTTCCTTACATTCCCATCCTATTTATTGCTACACTAAAATTCAATGAATATCAAGCAGAAGCAACGAACATTAAATTTTCAGGGCAGTCAGACCAAGAATGTCACTTTTTAACTTACTACACTTGTCCCTATCAATTTTTTGTAGACTGCTTCTTTTGGATAACCAAATTCAAGATACATCAAGCCTAAGTCAATTCAGCTCTACCATCACTCAACTAGCTTCCAAAATGGAAATCACCTGTTACTGGGCAGAAAAGTAGTGATACCAATCTTGAGTTATATTTTTACACACTGTACATTTCTGGCATGAAGAACTGCACATTTTTACCATAAGCAAATATTTGCTTTCCAAAACTGGGAGTATCTCCACATTTGCCCTCCAGTAGTTGGAGACAGAACAAATGCTTAACGAGAACTCTTGGTTCAAACCACAGCATCTTCGATTGGGATAATCAGGTAGCAAGTGAGAAGAAAGACCAGTCCATAATACCCTGAAGAATCAATGCCAAAGAACTGGGGACTGATGAGCATGTCTGACTTGGTATAAGACAGCTTCTTATATTAAACTGTCTATAAAGGGTGGCATAATCCTAGACTCACTGCACAGATCTTAAAATAACCTCAGCAGCCAATTACCCAGAGCATGTTGTGCAATCTGCCAACTGGCCTTCTATTCATCACGTTGGGATAGCTGCTATTGGTCTCATAAAGGTAAAATGTTCTATCAGACCCAGGCTCCATCTAGTCCAAATGCAGTTTCCAACAAATGGTTAGTCAGATGCGTTTAAGAGGCTCACAAGGCATGATGCCCACAGACTTCTTTGTGTGAGTACACTCACAGCACTTGGCAGTCAGAATTATATTGTTACCAGCTGCCACACTCACTTGATTCTAAGAGCTGCTATGTTTACAGAAGAACATTTCTTAACCTATGTCTGAACTTATGAAATCATTTACTTACTCATCATCAGGAGTGAGTTGAACAGGCTCGTTGGTGAACTGAGAATCAAAGTTGTCTAGGCCAAATTCTCCAGATATGTTTGGTTTAAATGGAGGAACCACCTGCTTTTGTTCCATCTAGAAATAAGTTCACACAACATAAAGGTGTAACTTAAAAAAAAGTATAGAAGTGTGATAATTATAGAAGCTAGATATTAGAATTAGTTCATATTTCTCTTTAGAAAAAAAATACAGACAACAGTGTTATCTAAGGTCAGATTTTACCATTTATTTAATAATTTCACCACCAACTCAGGTCCATTTTGAAGCTTCCAAAACCATTACACTGCAGTACTTGTTAAACACACCTTCCCATGCCAAAGATCTGTATAAGCTCTTACTATATACTGGGCAAAATCCTTTTGTGATCATTTATGCTGGCAGAAGCTGGATCAGGTGCCAGAAATATTTAATTTAAATTAATCGAAAACTTCCTATTTTTCTCTCAGATTCTGAGGCTGTCTACCCTTTTGCCTTGGGGAATCCTTTTGCGAGCCTCATTGGGGGTGCTTTCACAGACGAAAATCACACTGGATCACTGCCACTAGGACTGTTGGTAGCATTTTTTTTTTTACTATTAAAGGCTTACCCTGCTTCCCAAGGCTAGCTCAGGACAAAAGGGAGCCTTAGGGAGCCTCGGAACCAGAAGTGTTTAATTAATATTTCCAGTGCCATTATTATGCTGGTATAATATTTCCATTTTACACCAGCATAACTTGCCACAACAGAATGCTGCCCTATAAGTGATACAAATGAAAGATATAAAAGCCTATTGGGAAAATCTAAAAATACAAATCTTTGTTAGAAGAATTTTCATTCACCAGATTTCAGAAATTTACTATATATAAAACTCTTCAAAGCACTTACCAGATCCCAATCAACATTACGAAAAAAGGGGTGTCCCTGAATATCCGCAAATCCTGTTTGAGGATGGCACCCTAAACGCTCTTTTGGATCCTGTGGTATCAAAAGAATAAAAATAAATATAAACTTCAAATAAATAAAAGTAGAAATACATAAATAAATAAAACCCCAACTGGAATTGAGCCAGAGATTAGTGTGAACTGATTGTACCTCTATATCAGTTTACCCAAGTTCTGTGAAATTACTGAAACAGGTACCTATATCTTACTGTCTTCTCTGATGGGAGCTAAGATGATTGATATACAGAAAGCTCTGACACATCTTCTCATTCAGGTACTGACTAGATCTAAACTTGCTCAATGGAAGGTTTAGCTGACAGAATGCTATCCCAGTCACACAGTTAGTTATCTTTATTTCACAATAGAATAATAGAGGCTGCTAACAAAGGTTTATACTGCCCTTTGCTTTTAAATGGTTTCCTCAAAAATCAGATTTTATGACTAACTCTCATCAGTCATAGTCAGAATGGCAAATCATAAGGGAATCTGGGAGGAGTGCTTCAAAAATACCGGTATCTGGAAGGCTACAATTCCTCTTCCCCTGCCCCCCCCCCGCATAGATGGCACAGGTCTCAGTGTAACTATGACTGAGTTTTTTCCCAGATTTTAAACTGTTCTTGATTTTGTCTGTCCAATTTTGTATCTGTAAAATATTCAAACGTGCAAGATATAACGAATGTACATCTGACCGTCTGACCATTTTATATCTATGCAATCCATTAACAACAGAGGTTGAAACAAGTATGGCAAAAGCTCTTACCTTGTTAAGAAAACTTTTCAGAACACTTGCTGCCTTCACCGAAAGAGAGCGTGGGATTCGGATTTGCTTTTCTAGAATAACTGGGGGGGGGGGGG